CTAACAAAGGAAATCAAAGACTCCTACTTTTAAAACTATAGCACTCTGAAAAAAGAGGTCAAAGATGATATCAGAAAATGGAAAGACATCTCTTGTTCCTGGGTAGGAAAAACCAATATAGTGAAAATGGCCATACTTCCAAAACTACTCTATAGATTCAGTGCAATCCCAATTGAAATTCCAGCAGTATATTTCACAGACCTTGAGAAAACAATTCAAAAATTCATTTGGAACAAGAAGAGACCTAGAATAGCAAAAGCAATTCTAGGCAATAAAGACAAGATAGGGGTATCACAGCCTCCAACTTGAAACTATATTACAGAGCTACTGTGTTAGAAACAGCATGGTACTGGCAAAAAAACAGACCTGAGGACCAGTTGATCAGATTAGAAGATGCAGAAACAGCTCCAAACACACTCAGCCACCTCATCTTAGACAAAGGAGGCAAACACCCTCAGTGGAGGAAAGATGGCTTTTTAAATAAACTGTGCTAGAAAAACTGGATTTCAACTTGCCAAAGAGGGAAAGCTTTTAACTGTTCTTCATCTTACATAATTTTGACCATTGGTTTCTCATAAGTGCCCTTTCTAATTCTCATGTTAATGTCTGCCAGGAAAAAGCCTATTGATATAATAGGTGATAGTGGGAGAAAGAAAAGTCTTGAGAAGCTGTTATTCACTGACTTTTAGTGGAAGGAAACTCAGAAAGCAAGTACAAGTAAAGTTCCAGTGTCACTTTTTTTTAATATGGAGTCTTACCTGGTGACTAATGGGAAAATCCAGTTAGCTACCCTCATCTTCTATTTTATCAATTAGCTTAAACATCAATCTTTGATAGTAAAGGAAAAATTTCCACATAGCTTATGTAGCAGAAGATGGAAAGATGTGACCACCACTAAAAATCAGGGGTGTGCCAGGACAGAGGAGAAATGATCTATTTCCTCAGTAGAAAGAGAAGTAGTTGTAGAGAACATGGCATTTATAACCATGTAGAGAGATGCGGACCAGATCCACAGCAACAAAAATAAAAGGTTAGAGCCTGTTGTGCCAGGTACTCTTCTAGCAGGTCAGCAGCCCCAGTTTTAAGAGACATCAGGGTGTTTAACTGTGTGACTGAATATTCAAGAAGATAATATTTCTTCTGTGCTTTCAAAATGTTCTTTCTCTCTTTCCCTCCCCGACTTCTCTATCTTTCTTATGCCCATCCTTTACTCCAGTATATGTATGCAATATATTATATCAGTGATATCATAAATTAAAATACTGGCCTTAAATGTTATAGCCATGGATTCAAAATTCAGTTTTATTTTCATAACATCCTGGCTATTTAATCACAGACAATGTTATTTGTATTTACACTATGCTAAAGTTTGAGCTAGACCCTTAAAATATTTTCTTATTTGATTATTGGGACACTTTCTCATGTGATGAGTATGGTATGGATTCCCAGCATACAGACAATTAAACTGAGATTTAAAATGTTGATTAACTGCTAGGCGTGGTGACACTTGTGTGCATCCCTATAACCCAGGTGTCCTATGAGGCTGAGGCAGGATGGTCACAAGTCTGAGCCCAGTCTAGGCAACTTCGTATTTAAGTGAGATTGCTTTAAAATTAAAAAGGGCTGGAGATGTAGTGCAGTAAGAAAGCCCTGCGTTCTATACCTAGTACCACAAATAAAAATGTTGATTAACTTTTCTACTAAAATTCAGTTGATGATAGAGTTGAAATTTAGACACACATCTGTCCAATGAATAAATCTGCTCTCTTAGATGATTTACATTGGTTTGCTTGACAGAAATTATTTTTAATGTTTATTTTATTACAACTAAATTATATGGCATATGATAATAGTCTTGCATAATCTGTGCTGCTTGGTAAATATATAAGCAGAGAAATTCCCACATAAAACACTTGAAGAAGTTAGGAAAGTAAGAAATGATCTCTGTTGGTTATAATAAATATTTTCTGTAAGATACAGTTTACAGAATTGATTTTGTTTTTTTAGTTTCTATATTAAAATTGATTTTTAAAAAGTTAATAGTCTACTTTTAGAACATATTTAGGTTTACAGAAAAATTGAGCAAAGAGTAGAGAGTATTCTAATATAATCCCTATACACCCACTCACAGAGAATAAATTGATTTTTACACTTCCACCGATCAAATAGAATATAAAAAAGCTGATGTTTTCCACTATCATGTCTTCTAATGCTCCTGACTTTTTAACGAGATGTTAGCGTGTTCTCACAGTGTTATATATGGATAGACACCAAAAGCAGAGAAAAACAGGCACGATGCAGTGAATAGAGGAGGCTACACAGGCCTCCCATGCACTGCAGTCTGCACTCAGGGGCTTGTGACATGCTAGTTCCGATAGCCTTAGCCTTGTTCAAGAAAGGGGCTCACTCTCACAGCCTCACCATTTGCTCTTAGGCTTGATCTGCTGCATGACTTGGATAATCTTGTGCTTGTCCATTCAAAGGCTAAGGGAAAGCACATCCATATAGTTCTATTTAACAGTTAGTGAGGTCCTACCTTGTGTTACAACATGTCGATGTATTGCAAGGTAACCTATAATATCCATCAGTAATTCACTATTTTATGGCAGATAATTGCATAACTAAAATTTTTTTAAAAATTAAAGAACAAACACTCCTGTGTCCCCTGTGAGACAGGAAAGCAACTCATACATGTGTGTGTGTGTGTGTGTGTGTGTACAGGAGAGCAACTCATGATCTGCTCCAGAATTTTGGCATTTGGTGAGAGTTACATTGATTACAATTTAACCTTAGAGCATAGGAGACCAATGTAAATGTTTGGAGGCATAATACTTTTTAGCCAGGTGCTTGGTGCAGTAATAGCAGGAAATACTGTTGCTTCCTTGAATTCAACCTACAAGTAGACTTGAGTTTCTTGGAGTGTTTGGATTTTCTTTTCTATGTAGTATAACACTGGGGTCATGTCAAAGGAGGGAGTGAGATTATAGGTTTGATACTTTTATATTTTTGTAACAGTTAATGTCATTAACTTTTTCTAAGCCTTGCTTTGTATAATTTGTGTTGTTGAGTGGAGTGTTGTATAAATACCAGTAAAATCAAATGGATGGATAGTATTGAGCAGGTCTGCTAAATCTTCGTCGCTTTTCTGAAAACTTATCCTAGTGTTTACTAAGAAAAAAGGGTTAAAATCCCCAAGTGTAGTTATAGTTTTGTCCTTTTCCCCTTTAATTCTAATAGTTTAAAATATTCTGAAGCTTTGTTATTAGCTACCCACATCTTTTTATAATTATGTAACTCGTATTTCTATAGTCTTTCTTTTTCTGAAGTTTAATTTGTGAGACATTATTATAGTCCTTCTAGGTTTTTATTAGCATTTTAATGGATATTTTTTTATTTTCTTATTTTTAATCTGCATCATTGTATTTAACATGGATTTCTTTCAGACTCCAGTATCATTCCTGAGAAAAACTAGGACTTTTGACACCATGATCCTGAAACACATCTTTGCTGTTCCCAAGATTCTTGCAAAGTTGAGTGTATTCTAAGCAGAAAGTGACTGGGCCATTCAGATAAGGGTTACCTGAGAAACTCTGGGAAATGGGCAAACTAGTATCATCTGAAGAACCTGCCTTCCTTCCCATGTGTGCTCAGTCCTTCTTTGAAATGCTGGTCATCCTATGGAAAAGAGAACTATTGGGAATTAAGAGAGCTAATGCTGTCACTGCGATGTGGATAAATCTCCTCCCTGCAGAATCCCAGAGCTGAGCTGCTGCTGAGTGATTCATCTGACCCCTCCTGCTAGAGCTGGTGGCTGACACTGTTGGCTGGCAGGATTTAAAGTCTCAAGTGCGGTGCTATTGACCTGTATGCATCTCTAGTGGTATTTGGCCAGGCAGGGCTGTTGACCTTGTTTACATGCTCTGTGGGATTCTGCCAGAAAGTGCACACAGTTGGACTCAGTCGTGCCTCTTGTGGCCTCTCCCTCACTATTACATTGCAGTTAACCCTGTGCTTCCCTGTTAATACCTGTGCTTAGTGTTAGTAAACCCTATCTCTTACGCAATCTGTCTCTGGATATTTTCTTCAGTCTCCTGGCAACTTATTCAACTGCCCCCGCACACCAGGATTATGGATGAGACACATCTCTCTTTAAATTTGTATGTTTGGACCATTTGTATTTACTACAGTTATTGATATAAGTAGATTTAGGTCTATCATTTTATTATCAACTTTCGGTTTGTACCCTTTATTTGTGATCCCCAGTAGTACATTGAAAATTTTACACAACAAACAAACAAAACATGGTGTGCATGTATCATTGTAATAGGATGTCTTTAACTGTGGGGAAAATACCTAGGAGAAGAGCTGAATGAAGAGGAATTTCTATTTCTAATATTTTTGAGGAATATCCAAAGCCTGCTTAATAAACATATGAATGATAATTGTCAAAGAATTAAACATGTTATTGTAATAAATGACTTTCTTTTGAAGGATTTTATTAGGAATATATTTTTAATCAACACAATGTTTATACATGTTTGTGAGATATAGTGTGGTGTATCAGTTCTTGTGCACAATGTATAGCTTCGTATCAAGGTAATCGGCATAACTATTAGTTCAGATATATATCATTTCTTAATATAGTAGCTATTTTGAGAAGGAACAGTTTGGGGATGATCAGGAGAAAGATTAGTATTTCAGTGCTGGTTACATTAAATTGGAATCTCTAGAATTTTATATCCCTACCCAGAAGGAGAGCATTCATGTGAGTCTCTGTATTCTACATCTTATCTGACTATGACGCAGCAGTAAAAGAAGGAACTCATAGGAGTTCTTTTAGGAGCTGACCAGTCTTCCTGTCTGATTCTCCACTCTGCTCACTTTCATCACATGAGAGACCTTGCTAAAAACAAGTCAGGCTGTTCCAAGGAGTCACAGAAAGTCCCATGTCTCATGAAGTTTTTGTTCAGCTCCCCCAGCAGCCCTGAGAACTGTGTCACTCAGGGCACAGAAGTACACTGCTGCATCACTCCAATGGGCTGAAGCCTTCTCCAGGTGGAAAGAGGTTTTGCTCTTCTTAAACTCAGCCTCAAAGCTTTTGATGCCTTTAACCTGAGAGGGCCCTGCCACGTACTTGAGGAGAAGCTGGAGGCCTTGGCCGGGGTGCTGGACGTACCAGAAGAGATAAGGTGTTGCACCATAGGTATAGTTGCACCTCAGCAGCACAGGGGCTCCTTCAGAGACAGTGACGTGGCGGTCAGGCTGGGCCACTGACTGGGCTCCGCTTCCTCCTGCAACATCAAACCTGCATCCGTGAGATCAAGACTGACCTACCTGTATTAAGATAGTGTTTCTTTTTAGATTCTGATTGGGGAGATGCTCCTTCCGTGGAGGCAGGAACAAAGACCTTGGCATTACTTACTCAGGGTGAAGGGCACTCCAAGGAGGAAGATGGTCACTGAGAGCATGGCTGACCGGTGAGCAGTCTGAGTGCTATTCTAGATCTCTCTGAGTAGAAAGAGTGCCACAGGATGCTGGGTTCTTACAATAGAAAAAGCTGGGCTTCGGGAGTTTTGTGTTCAGGCAAGGTCTACAGACTAATACCGAAAGATGCTTCCTTAACAATGACTACTCTGGTGTTGATCCTATTCAGAACACTCTAAGTGTGCTGTGAAGGGAAGAAGCTTGCCAGAGTGAAAGAGAACATGGTTGCAGAGCCTTTTTCTGTTTAGGCAACATCGTCCCCTGGTGGTCAAGTATAGAAAAACAGCAAACCTTACGGTGTTTGTGCCATTCTTTCAGTAGTGCAATCCGGTGAAAGTATTTTCAAGGGTCTGCTTATTATGAGGTGATTTTAACCTTATAAACTAAATAATATCATTTATATGAGGTAAATAATATCATCCTTATTTTAAAAATAAGGAAGCTGAAGAACGGAAGAAAAGATGCAATTCGTTCAAGATCACAGTTAAGTGACAGAACTGGAGCTTATCTGAGTAATCTGGGTGAAGAATCCACACTGCAGATTTCTCACTCTAGCCTTCCAGTGTAGACATTGCCCTTACTTAACCGAATCAAAATCAAGTCTTTAGGAAGTTAAATAATTCGCCCAAACGACACAGGGTTAGGATCAAACTCCTCCTCTCCAAGCTCCGTTCCCCTCCAAGTTACTTGATACAGTACTACTCTGCAGTTTCACAATGACAAATGCTCAAAGAAAACAGGAGAACAGGGACTAGAGAAAGTCCTCCATGGATTCAGCAGTGTAGGGATGAAAAGTAGAGGAAGTGACAAAGAAACCTCAAATTGTAGTCCAGAGAGAATCAAGTACAAAATCAGAAGCAGCTTGGGTTTTCAGAAGGTAGAAGGAGTTTTAAGAAAAAAATAAATGGTCAAGGGAGTAAATATTAAAGAAATATCTAGCAGGAAGATGACTTCTCAGTCTGTTGCTTTTTTTAACAGCACAGTGATCACCATTTGGGTTTTCTTTTTTTTTTAGCAGAAAATAAACTATACTGAAATGAGGCAAGGAAGAAAAATTAGAATGTGGAAATCTCCATAGGGATCATCTGAAGAGAAAAAAGACATGGCAGAAACTAGATGGAGATTTGGAAATACTAATGGAATTTTTAAAAAAGTGACACATTTATATGCTTTTGGAAACAATCTATGAACTATGTATGATTTAGAATTCTGGGAAGACAGGATGAACATGATCACAAAGGACCAAGTTTTAGTATGAGGAGCGGTTGTTTCAACAGTTATTGAAATAAGAACCTGTTTAGATTTAGGTAATGCTTTGGGGATGTGAAAGTAAAACTTTGAAGCATCTATTATTTTGGAATGGAAGGGATTTTTTGTTTTATTAGAAAAATTTACTAGTATATGTGCTACATAGAGGTTACATTCATACATAGAGGGGTTGATGCACACACATATTACATCTTTATCATTTCGGCTCCCCACTCCCTTTACCCTCACCTCTCCTCTGCTAGATCCCTATCCCATCCTGACAGAGCCTACTCCTCTCTTTCTTAACACGGCTTTTGTATTTTGCTCTTTACTTTTTTTTTTTTTGTTTTTTGTATTTTGGGCCTCTCATTAGAAAACACATAATATTTTGGCTTATTTTTGACTTTTTACTTAAGTGTTAAACCTCAAAATCCATGCATTTTCCTGTCAACTACTCTAATTTATCCTTCTTTATGGATGAGTAGTATACCATTCTGTGTATATATACTGTGTTTTCTTTAGTAATTCATCTGTTGGTGAACATATAGACTGCTTCCATGATTAAGTTATGGAGAATCATACTGCTATACCCATTGTATAATCTATAGCATATGATGTTAGCTCTTTTAGGAAGACACCCAGGAGAGGTATAGCTGGGTAAAATGGAATTTCTATTGGTAGCTCTTTTTGAGGAATCTCTATACTGATTTCCAGAGTGGTCATACTAGTTTACATTCTCACCAACCATGTAGAGGGATTCTTTTTTCTCCTTATCTTCACAAGCCTTTTTGTGTTTTGAGTCCTCAATTATGGCCATTTTTCCTGGTGTAAGGTGGAGTTTTAGTGTTTTGATTTGCATTTTTTTAAGGTCCAAACATCCTAAAAATTTTTTCATGCACTCATTGGACATCTGTACTTCTTATTTCTTTTTTTGAGAAATGTTACTCATTTTAATTGCCCATTTTTGATTGGCTCATTTATTTTTGGCATCTCCTTATTTGAGTTCCTTAGTGGTTTAGATATTAGTAATCTGACAAGTACTGCTAAAATCTTTTTCCCATTCTGAAAATTGCCTTTTCATTCTGTTGATCTCCTTTTCTGTACAGAGTTTTAAAAGAATATAACACATTTGTTGACTCTTGATATTATTTCTTGTGCAATTGGAGTAGAATGTAAGTAAGAATTTGCCTATGTGCATGTCTTCAAGCATTTTATTGATTTTTTTTCTTCCAGAAGATTCAATGTTTCTGTTTTTTGAGGAGGGGGTAAGGCAAGATCTCACTATACAGTTTAAGCTGGCCTTGAACTTACTATGTAGCCGAGGCTGGCCTCAAACTCACAGCAATCCTCCTGTCTCAGCCTCCTGAGTGCTGGGATTATAGGCATGTGCTGACACGCATGGCTCTGTTTTTATGTATAGGTCCTTAATTACTTTTTAGTTTATTTCAGTACAGAATGAAAGGTATGGATTAAGATTCATTCTTCTGCACATGAGTCACCAGTTTTCCCTGCACCATATTTAGAAGCTCTCTTTGCTCCAGGGTATGCTATTTGCCCATTTATGGAAAATCAGATGGCTGAATATGCTTAGCATTTTTCTCCATCCTCTATTCTATTCCATTGTCAATATGCCAGTTTTCATGCTACTGAAGCTTTGTGGTATAACTTGAAATATGGGATTGTAATGCCTCCTGCCTTGCTCTTGTTGCTCAGAATTGCTTGGTTATTCCAGGTCTCTTTGAATTCCATATAAATTTTAGAATTATTCAATTTCTGTGCCGAAGAAGATGGTGGTATTTTTATGGGGACCAAGTCAATCTATATATGCTTTGTAAATACAGTGTCTTAGCTACTTTTCTCATTTCTGAGACAAAATACCCAACTCCCAAAGTTAAAGGAGGAAAGGTTAATTTTGCTCCCAGTTTTAGTCTCTATATTCCTGTCAGCATTGGTTCTGTCCTCTGACCAGAATGACCCATCGGGCTCTGCTTATAACATTCTACAGCTTGTGTAGTCCACATCTTCAAACCTATTCACACTTCTCCTGCCGTGAGTTCCAAAGGCTTCTGAACCACAGCAATGACCCCGATTCTCTAGTACCAATTTTCAGTAATTAAGAAGCTTTCCTATTTTTGGACACAGTACCTGACACCCACAACTTAAAAGTGGAGAGGTTTAGCTCGGCCTACACTTTAAAGGGATTCAGCCCATGGTTTTCTAGCTCCAAAGGAGAAATATGGTGGAAGTGTGTGGTAGAACAAAATTTCTTATTTCATTGTTCCTGGGAGGCAGAGCAGGTGAATGATGCCAGAGAGAAAGGGATCATGGACCATAATAAATCCCAAAGCCATGCCTTCATGGCCCACCCAAATACACCCAGAAGTGTGCTCCACTAATCTCATAGCTGGATCATAAAACCAATCAATTTGACATAGTGCTTATCAACAGAAAAATGGATTATATATATAATTAAATATATACCTCTCTCCATAATGACCATAATGGAGAATAAACTTCTGTCAATTGCAGAAAACTGGATGGATCTGGAGTTCAATCATATTAAGTGAAATATGATAGATCAGAAAGATCAGGATTGAATGTTGTGTTTCATATATGGAAAAATTTTAAAAACTTACTAGAATTAGAGTAGTGCTCACTAGAGATTGGAATAATATGTGTATGGGGAGTGTGGGGGTGGAATAGTGTGTTTATATTTGATCAGTGTATGTACACCACACACACACACAAGCACATACACACACATATATAAAATCACATAGAATCACATTAATATGTGCAATTAACATGTATTGTTTAAATTTTTTAAAACTTAGTGATTTTATCTAAGGGTAGGTATTGATTGAGAAGAGGAATGAAAGAATTTATGAGTTGGTGAAATGTTCTATATCTTGAGTTGTAGGGGTTATTACACAGTTATACAGATAAGTAACCATTCATCAAGTTGTACACTAAAGGTCTGTCCATTTACCAAATGTAAATTATACCTTAATGCAAAAAGATAAATCAGTTCTGCTGAATTGATCACAACTAAATATAATGGCAACACAAAGAGAATATTACTGCAATATCAATATAACTTTTTTCCAGTCATTTTTTATCTACAATGCCAAAGCTCTTTCAGGCTTTAGAAGCAACTCAGATGAGGGAACTAAAGGTTAGTTTGCGGGTATTGTTCATGAGGAAGCACTTGGTCTCCTAATAATTTTATTTTTTTCTACCATTCTTTATATGTATATATTAAAGACTCTGAGTTCAAACTGAAACTTCTGATTACAGTGCAACCCCACTGGGTCAGCCTTCCTTTTGGCTCCTATCATTACTGGTTAATTCTTTTTCCAACAGGGAGTAAATTTCATCTACTATATATTTTATTTATATATGCATTGGTTCAATTATAATATGCATGTTAATGAGATAAAAAACAGCTAGCTTATGCCTCTTTAGAAATACATTTACTAAGTACAATATTTCTGTACATTTTTCTTATCCTTAGCATGTGTTCACTTAAAGTACTATTTTCAGAAATTATTTTGTTTAGTTATTTTATTCCACACTAAAAAAATTTCAGTGTGATTATATTCATCGTAAGCACCCATTATAATAAATCTAGGTTTATTTATTACAGTTCCTATTTCCTTTAAGATTCAATCCACATTATCAATATTTAATAGGAATTACAAAAAGTAAAATCTACTCTTTGTAGTACCTGGCTCTCTGGTCTACTTCTTATCAACTTTAAGGAATTCAGGATCT